TTACAGAAATTAGCTATTGCTTTACGAATAAGCTGTTCTCACGCGATCACGATAATATCACGTTCATATAGATATATTGCAGCTAATACAGTCTTATGTGGTTAATATTCAATTATAGTTAGTAGGTGGTAGTAGTACAGCGGATGTGCGGGAACACTGGGCAATTTGTCCGGCGGCGGAAGCTGCACATCTCTAGTAATCTCCCGTAGCTCGCGGCGCGCTGCGGACGCCGGGCGCCGCCCTGCCAATACATGCACACGCCAGCGACATCATACGCCTTTAATATGCCCCTCTAATACTTAAAGCGTTTTCACTGCATGAGTATCATACTTAATTTGAATATTCCAGAGCTTTTCTACAATGTCTATCGATAAGTAATTGCGAAGCCTATCTTTCCATCTCAGATTAAGATTAGAAAGCACAGTATAAAGTCCTACATGAATATTCTTCTAGTTAGCGCCTACGAGGGTCGTTGGAATAAAAGTCCGAGAAAAGGAAATACCTGTACTGTTATCGCTTTGTTTACGGGACAAAAATGGTCATTGATATATTTCACCTGATGTGAAATAAATACCGACACGTAGGCAACTGCGCGGCAGTTACACCCACAGTTTCGCTCAGAATTTATGTCGAAACCGACATTCACTGCGGAGAACATTCACAGCAAATAACCTAGGCGTTAAAACAACTAGCACAGACAACTAGCGCACTTAACAAACAGACGTATCCGTATCAGATATAGCCTATCGAGACGGCAGGACATTACTTCTGCGCTATCGATAAAGCTCAACGGTGAGCGAAATAGTTTTGCCACGCAGTGAACATAAATAATTGTCATAAAATAGATAGGAGCTGATGGATGGGCGCCGCGCCCGGCCGGCCGACTAACGAGGAAGCATTCGTGACGAGCAAGAACCCACCACTGCACTGCACTGGGTTGTGCTCGTTATGCGCATGCGCACCCACTCGCGGATTTACGTATCTAATGGCAAATATGCAAGGGAGCTGACGAGGCAGTGACGACTTCTCCTAACACCGTTCCCCTAGTTGTACGCTTATGCACAAAAACGTAACTCAAGATTAAATCTGAAGTAATTGTTACGTTAACGATGCTATTAACCTACGATTTATAGACAAAAATAAGACAGGTGTAGGGTCGGAGAGTAGCTCTTATGCCGACAACAACAACAGCATCAATGAGAAATAGGCGTCGATATAGGAATAAAGTGAATACATGTTCGGGCGCTATACTTAATTAGATCATTTATCTCGCCGCCAACCGAGATCAGGCTAGTCGTTTGATAATATGAGATAACTGAAACATAAGCATGCATATTTTGTATTTGTAGATCCTTATTGTTCTAAATGATACTTTCCTATTTAGATAGAACTACAGGTACGAGCGTGTGTTTTTATAAAAATTGAGCATTACATTATAACTAGTATCTTCTGTTAATAAATAATTATTTGACTAACAATAAAATATTATACATAAGGAAATGTATTAATGCTTAAATATTAAAACACAACACAATTCAAATAGATTTTAAAAAATACATTTATTAGTGTATTGGCTATTCACGACAAGATTTATGAAGTCGATAGCAGCCACGTGAACAGTTGGGATTGCGTGTATCTGTATGTGATATAAATATGCAATCGGTTATTTATTCAAATAGAGTGACGAAATTAATGCAGAGTGCTTGTCGGAGCGTAATCGCATCGACGGCCGACACTTGGGCACAACAATCTCTGGCGTGTGTCACACACGGCGAGAGAAAGCGTGCTTAATCAGATAACTCAGATTGTCAACCGAGCTCCTGAAATCGGGTCGAATGTCGATACACTCGATTAATTAATTGACGGTCCGAAAACTTGGAAGTAACTGGTCCACGAAGCCAAAACTGTCGATGCTCTTGTGAAACTCGTGTGTTGCATTCGATACAAATACAACATACCTGTGTATAACACAATTTAAGGCAATATTAAGCCTTATTTCATACAAATGTATGTACAATGTTTAAATAAAACGTGTAGAATGAAGTAATAACATCGATGTCTCAGCTCATATTCTATTATATTCTATTATACCTAAAGATCATTATAATAATTAATTTATGGCGGATATGAATACCGGTCCAAATACTCTAATCTATTTAAAATAAATTAATAAATATATTTTATCTACGAAATAGTCGATTGTTATCTGAATTTAAATGTGTTTTAGTTGTGAGTCGTTTGCTAGTAAAATATTATTTACAGTTATGTTTGGGACGTGATATAAGTTTGTGGTACAACACATAATTCTGTCATTTCGGATTAAAAATCCAATTAACGGTTGGAACAAGCGCTGGGCCCACGCAACTCGCTCGCCGCCCTACACGGCCGGCCGTCAACGTGACGGAACCATCCGATCATTCGACTCGCTGTCCAAATAGTAAATTATTATATCTAATAAATAACTTTTAACCTAATCATGAAATATTTTTGTCAATATTAATATTTTTTGTAATTCAACAGCAGTGTCTCGGTTAAATAGATACCTAATCAAATAAAAGTAACATACCTATGTAAATTAAAATCCCTACATATTTTTTTTAAATATTATGTAATTTTAAACTAAATATTTTAATAGTATGTTAGTTTTTCCTCACATAAAATATACGTAGTCGTATAAATATACCTACACTTCTTGTATCAAAGTAAATACTTGAACCATATTGGGGATGTAAATCGTACAGAGATAAGAATAGAATAGAAAGAGATAGAAGAAAATATTGTGTATGTAGGTACTTATCTATTCTCTAATATGTCATAATAAGTTACAATTTACCGTTGTGTTCGGTAGTTGTGCATATATATGTTAATTTGTTATACTTCATTATTTTTTTAAATATTACTCAAATATCGAACTACTTAATTTATTACAAACTTAACACATATTTTGTAATAATTATAATAAGCAGAGATCTGATATACATCTTTATATTTGATAACACTATATAATATCAATCGTAACATACATTAAAAAAAGCTATCTCATAAACACACAAACGAGAAATAAATTAATAAATTAAAGCTATCTAATCTTGAATTAAATAACATACATCTACATTACATTCCAATCCCACGAAACTTCTTAAACGAAGTGAATTAACATACAAGCAGCGATTAGTTAAATCTTAATGCAATTGTTGCCGGTCTTATGGTTTTCGCAATAAGCTCCACAAACTTGTACCTACATAATGTCAAATTAAAGTCGTTAATGAAATCAAAATAAAGCCTGTCCCTGATAAATTGTGCGGTAAGTCAAACAATTATGATTGCCAGTTATTACAATGTATCTTTGTCATGCAACAATAGCCAACATTGTTCAGTACCAATTGCGACCAGAAAATAGGCACTAAATTACGTAAACCGTTACTAGTCCGAGTCTAAATTAGTTAGCAAGTGTTTATGAATCATTAGTTCCAATACAATAAACAAAAGTGGTCAGTTAAGTCGGCGATTATCTACAACACATAAATAAACAGTAAACATAAAGAACAATAAAAATAAAACAGTGGTATAAACTGCACGTTTAACTCGTTATGTTAACCTCCGATTCGAAGTCATCGACGCTATATATTAGCTAATTCAAGTTTACAGTTAACATTATGTATTTCGTCAAATGTTTTCTGGCACGCGGAATTCTAATAAAGTAGTAAATGTTTATATTTATTTATTATAAGCGATGAGACGATTCGTAGAGGCGGTGTAAACCGTTACAATTTTATACATGGGCTATCTAATAGTATGCACGGTTCCGTTGGGTTTACGCGTCGCGCCCGATCTCCGGAGAAAGCCTGTGTCCCCCTTATAGACTCGCTGAACTATTCGCCGACACAAATTACTCGTAAATTTACCGATTTACAGTAAAATAGTGTTTTTATTGCCGCTGGCAACACTGTAACCGCGAGTCCTTGCTGTATTTAATTGCAATGCAAGCGTAATTGCCGTGTGCAGACGCCGAATACTTCATCTTATTTAGCTTATCTTTTCCTATGCATATTCATGATTTGATAATAACGTCTAAGTCACAGTTAAGTTGTAAATAGGTATTAGAGCCAGGGACGGTTATAGAGTCACTTCTTTAAGTACTATAGTTAATAGGGAGGAAGGGTGCGTCTATGAGATTATACACATACGCTATCGCTTGTCGTATGATACATCAAAAAAAAACTCGAAGCATTTTCATTTTTAAATCTCAATTTTGAATCAATTTAATAGATATATACCGACCTTGTTGAGGCATTTTTCCGAATATTTATAGATACATACGTAACTACACATTATAATACTAATTGTGTAATTAAGAGATACCTATGTCTAAGATAAAATAATATGTATGATGAATTTCGAAGACAACGGCTCAAGGAGGAAGGAAGGAGCAGCGCAGTTGGGCATGATGTCTCGTCGCGGCGATCCATCAATCCGAGGCGACGCTCGGAGGTGCTTTCTCGTCGTTAGCCCTATAAGGCACGGTCGGTACCACGCCTCGCACAAGCCACTTCTTTTGCACTTCATTTTCTAACACGTCGATAGAAATCGTCTTAACAGCATATTTCACTTTTTCATCTGAACGGAAACGGTCCAAAGGTTTCACGTTACTTTTTAAAAGTACTTAAATGCGTATGAAATTAAGATACTCGCCGTAACGACGTAATCACGCTCGTTTAACGTAATAGCTGAGAAGTGCACGTCGGTAATCGCGTTTTGCGTATTCGCGAAATGCTCACGGCGCTTCGTCTGTACTTTCGCCATTAAAAGTTGGCAATAAATAAACTAGAGGCATAGCTGCCCGATGTCAGGTGTTTCTAATGGCCACCCTGTGTGTTAATTTATATACCGTCTTATTTACAGAGGATATTACTTATTTAAGCAGTTACACTTTGCAGATTTATTGTGCAACTTGAATCGTACTTACTTTGTATTAACAACATATCATTTATTTGTTTCAGAGTGTAGTAATGTTAATGTTCAGAGAAGAAAAATCACCTGAAGATGAAATTAAAGCGTGGCAGTTCTGGCACGGCAGACAACACTCAGTGAAACAGAGGATATTAGACGCTGGTGAGTAACGTTTCATTGTTACAGACGTTTATATAATACTAATCAACGGAGTCTAATCTTGCGTGAGTTGATAAGTGAGTATTTATGTAATTATCAAACTAAGATAATTTGAAGAACAATGACTCTTAAGTTTTTGCTAAATATACACTATGTAGTAGCGCATACAAGGGTTTAAGACACGATACCCGAGCAAAAACAGAGTCGTGCTCGAGGCGACACAGAAACATGGCGGAGAGGTTGCGTGTGGTGGCGGGCGGTGGCGGCCGGCACGCAGCACCTAATTACCGTGCTGCAGGCAGATACCGCGGAGACGCACCCGCGCACCCCGCCGCACCACCATTATATCTCGTTAGGACATTTGCATAAATAACGCGCACGACGGCCACGGCCCACACCGACCGGTGAACCTATCAATCGCTGCGACTAAAAATAAACACCTCTGGCGCCGCACCACCGCACCGCGCCGCCTAGCAGGCCTAGCCAGCCGCGTCACTCGCCCGGCCTGGACGCAGGCCGATCTGCTCACGGCTTTATATTACGCTACCTGTAATGACACATTCCGACATTAACCAGATTATAGATATAAAACTAAATGTGAAGTTTCCCCGACGCAACGACACAGGCAAATGAAACTATGTAATAAAGATATCTGACACGATGAGCTCTATGAGGCCGAGTAACAGGAAATCGTTAAAATTCGTGAGAAATCTCTTAGAAACACCTGCTTGTTTTGTCGCTGTCATTTTGATAGGCATAAACTGGGAGGTTGAGAGACGTAGTTTGGCTACCACAAAATACGCGTGTCGAATATCCACAAAAAGGTAAGACGTACAGGCAATCTTACAATATAGTCGCGCGCGGACATAATTACAGCGATGATATCGGGGAGCGTGCTCATTAGCATGTTAATTGCACGGTGGACCTCGGCCTGCGCCAGCACAGTGCTTTGCCTTAGAAAATTATTGTTTTTGATAACTTTACAAAGTTGCGATATTCATATCTTTGCAATATCAATACATTGGTAGAGTCTTAAATTAGTAATGCAAATCAATTAAGTACGGTGGTTATATACATTATTGCTGAGTGAGTTAAATAATACATGGCTCTTATTTAATTGATGTTATACGTTAACCGATTAGTTAGGGAGTTACGTCATCAATGGAACGCTTACTTATTAATCGTTTGCCTCGAAGTAAACAGCGCTGATATATGACACTTTACACATTCTAACATTACTTAAATGAGGCCTGTAGCATTTGTAATGAGTGACGCCGCGGCCACAACCACTGCCTATAAATTAAATCTCAAGGAAAATAAAAACATGGAAGCCATTAATTCGCGCGGTCGAGTCAAGTTTAATGTCAAGGTTTTTTAGCTTATCTCGATGTTAGTTAAGTTTTATTTTTTTCATTTGTTGACGTTATTACATAGAATGAATTAATGTCTAAACACAAAGGAATTTTGTATTTTATGTCTCAAAAGACTCAGTTAATGTATTTGTTTTTAGTTTTATTATATCCGTAAGTTCGGGTCAGCCTCGGGGACTTATTAGTTTGGTGCTTGGATACAAAATGTATTTGGATTCTGTAGGGGTAATAGGAGGATGAAACAGACAGGTTATGTTAGGGAGGTAGGGAAGTAGTGCACCAGTGCACCATGAATGTATGCGACGAACTTGGGAGCAGCGTCAAGGGCGACACCGGACACCTGTGCGCAGGCGTGTGAAAGCGCGGCGGGGCAAGGGGTGCGGCGGGGGTCGCAACGCACTGCGCGCCCGCACAATGCCTTCTCCGATTACTTACATGTCTTCGTATATCGCGTGTCCACGTCCAGCGCAGCTTCTTTGCCTCCACACTTATTTCTTTTGACAGTTTTCTTCCGAACCACGCCTCACTGATTCGACAGATTATTCTTCAGTAAGTCGATGTTTTGACGATATTAAGGAATATCCGTTTGTAATTTCATACATCGATGGTCATAATCATAACAGACAATTTAGTTTCTTATTAACATATTATTATACCGTATTCGGATATATTTTCCTACCCATTTGTGAGAAACATATAACATCAATTTAATATTAAAATAGTCAATTAAATAAAAGTAAACCGTATGTTTGAGTAAAACTGTTAGGCTACTAATCAAAGTCCTGTCTATTATACATAAGTGTAAATGCTACATATGTATAATAAATGTATGTGTTAAACAAACAGTGATTCAAACAAATCTGAACGCACATGGGTAGTTTTTATGTGGGCGGATTTATTAGCACAAAGCAGGATGTTGCGTGGACTCGTAAATTTGTAAGAGGCTGTTAAAACAATAAGGTTGTCGGAGGGCGGCGTCCCCCGGCGGCTCATAAACACGTCAGCGGCGACGTCGCCTGCGCCCGCACAGATCGCCGCCCGAGCGCCCGACTGATAGCCCCAGCCCACGCGCCTTAGCAGCGCGCCCAGCCAGGCTCATGTGCGCTCAGACCAGCAAACACCCGCGCAAACAAAACCCAATATTGCCAGAACCTATTTATGCTTGCCTATGTGCACAGATTATTATATTTTCCTTTATTTTGTAAAATTTCGTTTGAAAATACTTCTGGGATATCGAATATAATTAATCTAGTTCATGCGCAATTAGTGCGAAATGCAAATCTGCTAATTATTGCCCATAAACCTAAATCTAGGAAGGGCAGAAATGGAAACGTTGCAGTCGTCAATAAATTGATCCTATCATGTGATTATTCACGCCCAGCAAATAAATTTCCGTCCTCGATGACGTATTGTGCGTTGATATCTTAATCGAAATCTCCGCCGCCATTACTGCAGTTACCCGAAGACAAGATTAATGACAATTTGTTGTTTTGTTACAGACACGAAAAATAGCATCGGCTTGGCGGGCTGCATCGAGGAGGTGGCGCACAACGCCATCGCCGTCTACTGGAACCCGCTCGAAAGTGCTGCCAAGGTACCGTCTCTTACTAAAGCACTACTCACACACATCTACATAACAAAGCGTATAAATTTAGATCTGACGCAGTGTATATACAAATACTAATAGGCTAATGTGTCTTCCTGACAGTGAAACTGCACGCCGAATGACGATTCAGCTCACTATGCAAAAATATGTGCATATTTAAAGTATATTCGCAACCCCGCATGGAGATCATTATAAACAAAATTAAAACATAGATTATGATTTTATTGGCCTTATTATAGTGTAATTAAATATAGTCCTGCAACCTTATTTGGTCGAATGACTGTACCAAATGAAACAAAAAGCGCGTGGGGCGCGCAGCGCGGCGGCGAGCGTGTAACGGCAGCAGACTGCAGCGTTCCACTGTGAACACTCATTATATTGTTGAATAATAAACAACACTCTATGTTTTTAATTGCTTACATAAAATTATACAGTATCTACTACCGGCGGCACAAAAACGTATACTTCATTGATAATGTTATGTATGTACATAGCCTTTTAAATATTCATCAAACAATTAAAAGTCCGCGTGAAATAGCCTCAATTCTACGACAGTATGCTAATGTTAGTCAAGGGAGCTATTAACGTTTAACGATTTCTACATAGAATCACTATTTCGATACTTCGACCATAAAGTTGAAAACTGCTGCTAAAAAATAACCTTGCTGAATTAAAAGCGTTTCAAATAGGATTAAAGTTTTTTTCATTGATTAATATTATTGACATAAATAGCTTTGGATGTAGCTGCGGCTACTGGTCTGTTATCAATATCCATAATTATTTATTGTTAACCGGTAAACCGTGGCGGATGCGAGTTGTTTGCGACAGTTAATATGGTTATAGAGAGCCGTCGTGACGGTGTCGGCGGCAAGTAAAAACGCGAGAGAGTCATTTGCATAGACCGCGGTAATGAGTAGCGTCCAGCCCGCGATCCGCCCTCCGCTGCCACTCGCTAAGCTAAACACGCCCTACGCGACACATACAGCGGTGCAGCGGTCACTGTAACTACACACTGCAACAGTTTCATTCAATAGCTATTACCCACACACTTTTATGATGTTCATTTTATGGGTGCTACTTTCTAAGGACTTGTCATATTAATCATGTGTGTTACTTCAAAATCTTAATTCATATATTTTTTTTACAGATTAATATTGCAGTGCAATGCCTCAGTACAGATTTTAGCAGTCAGAAAGGAGTAAAGGTTAGTCATCATACAAGTACCCTGAACGTAGTACTAAAGATATAAATCTGTGGACTTAATTAATAGATAAATCACTATTGTTACAATGCTTGATTATTTTAATGTATGTAAATGGTTACGTCGATGAAAATAAATAAAGCTGTTTACATATTGCTCTTGAGTCGAGGAAAACGGTAATTGACTTCTATAATGCCAATCATAAATAATTTTAAACTTAATATCATTGGTTTGTTCACTGAATACTTGCTCTTCGTTCGAGCTAAATATGTCTGCAGGTAGCATTTAATGGGCGTGGGAAATCGAAGACGAGTCAGCAGTAACGTCTACAATTAATGTAATTTATTTTATTTTGTATTGCAAAATGTTAATTAAACTTACCACATTGAAAGTATGTAAATGAATGTTACGATACGTGGACGTCAAGACTTGAGGTCGGTAACCGCGTTGTCGCCGGAGACGCCACGATAACCATGGAAGCGAGGCACGGGCATGGGCGGCGCAAGCGACAGCCGGACCGCGGCGACTTTACTCAGATCATTTTGATTATCAATACCACGATAGCATCTGTTTCACAACGTGCTCACCGTTGTCTGCCATTTCTTACAACAAATTAGTCGTCTGCGACTGATCACCCATTGCTTGATCCGCTCTAAGCGTGGGTCTCGAGCCGCGCCTGTCCACCGCCTGATACGAAACCTGTCCGCTATCAGCCTCTCAATTACCTATCCAATGCGCAGTGACGCCGCCGCAACACCGACCTCGAACCAACGCAATTAAGACGTTTTAACGCGATTCGATTCAGACACGTGCATATTTTTTCCTTATTCGTAAATTTATCGCAATTATCCCTTATGAACGTTTATTAAACTGTTTTTTTTGTTATCATTCTAAGATAAGTGTAGACTTCAAGCGTGAAATTGCTTGACTCAAATATAGTCGATTTGTTTATATGACTATGTATGAGATCATATAGATACCAAATAGCGTGAGAGACGTTGCGTCTTCGATTAATTGGTCAATTAGACCTAACCTTCTTTCTAACTCCACATTTGGCTAATTTTTGTGCAAAAATGGAAAAAGATAATTTTGTAATTAGAAACAAATATTCGAAAGTGCGTAGACGAATGATCAAAACTTAATATGTTTCTTGCTTCATTACAGGGTTTACCGCTACACATACAAATAGACACCTTTGAAGACCCACGAGACCAACAAGTTTATCACAGAGGCTACTGTCAAATAAAAGTGTTCTGTGATAAGGTAAGATGCAAAACAATACAACAACAAGTTAAATCTGTGTCATAAATTATTAAAATAATCAGCTTACAATAATGTAATTGTATTACTTTAAAATTGAAGGGTGCGGAAAGGAAAACAAGAGACGAGGAGAGAAGAGCGGCGAAACGAAAAATGTCAGCCACGAATAGAAAGAAACTGGACGAGATCTACCACCCGGTGACGGAGCGCAGCGAGTTCTACTCCATGGCGGACCTAGGCAAGCCACCCGTGCTGTTCAGTCCGGCTGAGGACATCGACAAGCTGGCGGGCATGGACATCCAAGGGTTCTACGGGCACGATGACTCTGCCCTGGCCGAGGCTCATCTCAAGGGTGCCTCGCCTTTCCTCCTACACGCCGCCAAACCGCAGGCACCCGCTCTCAAATTCCATAACCACTTCCCACCCGATGCACCAGGGTAAGTACCCCAAGGTTTTTCTTCAAACTATTCTTCACAAATAATCAATGTATCTAATTGTAAAACTTCGCAATAAAATTAAACCGACTTACACGCTAAGTAGGTATTGTGGAACAAATCACTATATTCTAAAGCTATTTATTGATATTATCGTATTTATTCATATGTAATTTACGTTTATGATAATATATGGACAGAATAGGTCGTGGAATAATATAAATAGGAATTTAGATGAACATTAATGAATGCCATACATACATATGACAAAGGTCTAACGGCTACGATCTCTTCTATATAATCGGTATTCTAATATCAATTCTTTTTTTGCTTCAACTTTTTAATTGATTTTATGATCTGCATTGCTAACTTACTTATCGATTTTTATTTATAATAGTTTTATGAATGTTATTTGCTATTTTATGACCAAGTTGAGATCACACACATACCTACATATTAATTAGTACGATTTTATATACTTATGTTAATTCAACTTAAGGGGTTAAAGTAAGGGTCAAGTATTATAATATGTATATTATCTTTTATAGTAATATTGTAGAGAAAATTCTATACTACTTATAAAAAAATCATAAGTTTTCATTTTCAAAATTAAATACAATCGCAAATTAACAAGGATTTACCATATAGCAAGGATTAAATATGGATATTATGATGTTTTACAGTTATCGAGAGGTCGGAGGTCTGTCCCCGTATAGCGACCGCAAAGACTCGCTGGAGCTAGAGGGCGTGCTGGGCAAGCGGCCGCGCGTGAGCACACCGCCGCTGAGCGAGCGCGTCATGCTGTACGTGCGCCAGGACACCGAGGATGTGTACACCGCACTGCACGTCGTGCCGCCTACCACGCAGGGCCTGCTGCATGCGGTCAGTACCCCACGCACCCAACATTCATACTATATTGCTGGCCTGCACCTCGAGACGTCACACCCAGACTTTGGGCTGGTGACGTCTCCAGGTGCACGTCTAACCGTGCTGTAGCACGGGAATAACCTTGGTGATGTCAGCTAACCACAGAACACGAGCGAGCGAGATGGTCTCCGTTGCTTTCTCGGTTTCTCGTCGTTCGTCAATGATAATTTATACTATATGTGAAATAAACGCAAGAAATCGAGACGCTTCGTCGGTGTGCGGGCGCCGGTCCGCTTGCCGGCCGGGCCGCCGCCCGCCGCTGTAACCGATTGGACGCTTTATAACCCCGTCTAATAAACACACGATCATCATAACCGCATGTTGTAATTAACATCCGCACGGCCGGCCGCCGCGCGCCGCACCGGACCTCCGGCGGGTCCTCGCGCGTATTGTCCTCAGTCACAAACCACTAGACCGGTTACTGAACTTTCGGTTCCGTTAGACGAGACGTCTCGGTTCTAAATGGCGAAAGGCCTATTTGTAACTCTTTTGTTTTTTGCTTATTTTCAGATTGAGAATAAGTACAAAATTTCAAGTTCGGCAATTAATAATCTTTATCGAAAGAACAAGAAAGGGTAAGTGGTTTTCATTGGCCTTAAACAAATCTGACAGCGTAAACGCACCGGCCGCCTCGCGTTAATGCAGCATCGCTTGTCCCGAGGGCGCGCCACTAACTGATAACTACGCAAAGCTTACAATATGAACACCCCTATAACTGTCTAATGAGCTTCATAATAGGTGCCAGTCACGTAATCGCCTCCCCTGGTCCGAAATGACACCTTAATCTGGATCCGAGCCCGAGCTACTTTACTGGCAACCACTCGCACCTAATTAATGTTAATGAGCACATTATTACCTTAATAATTGAAATTTAATGTTTGTTTTTATATTAAACCTACTTTGGTTAATTTGAGTCCAAGTCCAACCAATTAATTTGCACGTGTTTTATTTTCAAATAGCCGAAATTCCGCTGTGCAGAGGACTTCGAGTGCATATACTGATGAAAGTTTAATTACAGGATTACGGCCAAAATTGATGATGAAATGCTGGCATATTACTGCAACGAGGATCTGTTCCTGCTGGAGGTGCGACCGGCGGTGGCGGCCGAGGACGAGCGGCTGTACGACATCACGTTCGTGGAGCTGCCGCTCGACCCGTAGCGGCGCGCGTCGTCTCGCTGGACTTTATCTCGCCGCCCTCCATCGCCCTCCGGACGGCAGTTTTTACTATAAGCATTCCCGATTTACACTCTATACGTGAAAAATCTTTATGGGATAAGGTTGTATCAAAAGTGTCGATCTCAGGTTGAAATTTACTCATAAGCGATTCACTCTCTATTTTGTTTGAAACGGAATGTTACAGAATGTTTTGGTTATCGTTGTAAGCTAAGCGATCGAGTCGAGACCGTTGTGTAAATATCTATTTTAGTGCCTTATGACATTACGTCGTGATTCGATTGCCCGGTGATGGCGAACTAAATTTTTGATGTTTGATTAGCAGAAAACATAATGTTTCGTTAATTTAATGTATTTTATTGTAAATGACGATTATATGTTGCTGAATATGAACGCGTGTGCCATTCACTCGGTTATCATAGGTATGTAGTTAACATTTCAACAGGTACCTTTTATTCTTGCCATGATGATAAAGTAATAAATTCTTGTCACAAACTTATACGTAGGTATAATATATATCTACACTGAGAAAAGCATCAAGTGCCTTCGTCATAATAATTAATGTAATAATAGCATAATGTAAGTGAGTTAAGTCAAATTAAATGCCATCCACTTTGTTAAGTTTTGTAAGCCTAAGTTTGCTTTATAAGCTCGCTCAATTCTTACAATTAGTGAAGTTGATATTAGTTTTAGGTCCATACATGCGGACATTGCTTCCACTCAGTGACAAAGGTCCTTTCGATAATATATCAAAAACATATTAATTATGAAGAAGTAATAAAATGCCCGGATGTTTACATAAATTTTGTTCATTGCCACGTTTCAATCAGCGTGGTGAGATATAATCGGAAGCAATGGCGCAAATTACAATTTTATGCGACAGAGCCGAGGTTCCGTGTTATGTTGGATGTATAATAGTCATAAAAACATAGTCACAAAATCGTCCATCCGAACAACATTAATATCATCATCGATGGGAGTGGTATGTGTATTACTTTAAGATTTTTATTAATAATACAATTGTTATAATAAACGAATTTCGATACGTAGGTTATCGGGCCATGACAACAATTTAGTTTATCAAGTATTTTATGTCCAAGACTTATTTATATTATAAGATGAAGATTTCGTGCCGGATAGGACCATATTTTCTGTAGCGACTTAAGTTTTTTGTTCTTCAATCTCCCTATATCAAACACATAATTCGACATCAGAAAATACATATTGACCTAATTAATCATTTGTAAAGAGTAAAGCGTATATTATTGTTAAGTTATTTCCACCGATTATTCAAAATTGAGAACAAGGTTCTGTGTCAGTGTATGCGCGGACGCCGGCGTGTCGCCGCCCAGCGCGAGCGCGCGCCCAGCGGCCGCGGAGTAGTGCGGACGGTTCGAATAACTGCCATATTATGACATAATTTAGAGTACTTAATGTTCTTAGACGTAGATTCTTTAACATAATGTTAGTTCTTTTTACTGTGTCTCATGTGACTTGCAGGTAGGCATCGAATTTTAATTAAGATATAGTTCATATTTTATACATATTATATTATGTAACGTGTTGTTTTTGTTTCATTCAACTCTAGCTGCGATTGCGTTGTGACTAGTTCTGACCTTCGCATTTCTATAATCTTCCATTTTTTGGCTTTCGTACACTTGTTATATTTTCACAACTTTAACTTTCTTTAATGTTATGTTTTGGTTACAAACCCGTTGCTCAATGTCCGGCGCCACTCCGAGGGCGGGACTCTAACAGCATTATGTTATACTCATACTTATGCAAGTAATTATATTTATTTATATACTTATTAATATAAATTGTGCAGCTTTAATGTTTACTTACAATGATGTTAGCTCGTGATTCAGAATCTCGTCATAAGTCACAAACGTCAGTAGCAATAATACAGTGTAGTAGTTAAAATGTCAGCGCCCGCGGTGAGTCGCCACGCGCAGCCTTCTCCGGCAAGGTTGTGCAATGTATAATCAGAGTTTTACTATAAAAGTTGTATAATTATATGAAAGCGGTGGTTGACCACGATTGGATTGAAATTATATATAATATAAATGTTGGGAGAGGCGCTGCGGTGGCGACACGGCGCGGGCGCAAGGCTTGCGGAGATATTAGTCACACTAGTTAAAACACAACCCGAAAGTGGTAGCACATTTTCGTTATTAAATTGTACTGTACTTAAGGTTTAATTGAATAGATGTTACGTTATTCTTTTATATGAATATTTGTAAGTTGTCATAAAAATATTATTAATATAATTATTTTTATCAAAGTTTATAATCTAAATAAAAATGTTTTTCTTGAAAACATCACTTTGGTTTCAATATCATTTATGTTTATAAATGTATCCCTAAACTATTGTGTGCCTTATGTCTGAAATATGACATATATAAGAAATTGTTTAAAAAATCACATAATACTAGCCCGCTAAAAATTAAACAACATTGCAACTTCATAGTTACTTTTAATTGATCTTATTACTTTACGTTAACAATTGTTAGTTTTAATATTCTGTACATTTAAAAGCTTCAAAGTTCACGAAAGCGTCAAGACAAAGACTTGAAGTAAGACTAGATGCTATAATTATCTGTAAACTACAGTTAGTCAATTTATTTGGTATGCAGGTAATAAAATAAAGAATGATTCAAACTTCAATGCAGAGACAGTAGCCATTGCATGCAGAATCAATCTTCATCTTCTTACCTATCTACAAAATAGTTTGGCTGACTGTACGTGTAATTATATATTATAACCTGACAATTATAGCAGTAGATATTAATAAAATAGCGTTTCTAGCTCCTTATTTACTTAGCAGTTTTTTTTCTTTAATATGACTTACATTTCCAAATATTATAGCATGAAGTTAAGAAACGCTTGTAGGCTTAAAACAGAATGCACAGACATGAAAAGCAAGCGAGAGTAAAGTTTAGAGAAACATCTAATCTGAAGATCAGTCAAATATTTGTAACTTTTACAATCAAATCAGAACTGTATTCTTCGAAGGACACACTCCATGATATTGTTTCTATTTCATTGGTGAAGAAGGGTTGGAAACTCAAGTTATAATGTAAAGCGTCTCCCAACATTCCACCAGGCACTTAGTGTGAATACGAAAAAACCCATTGTATATTCCTTATGTTACAAATAAACATTTTACGAATGAACAATACAAATCACTGCTAAACTAATTAATAAATAGCAAACTATGTTTATAGCTTCTATAACAAATTACAAAATTAATTCCGTAATCAAACAAACATATTTATGTTGCTAATATATCCGTTCCTTTCCTACAGAAGCTTGATTATAAAAGTCTAGAACGTTAATACAATAATTGCTTAATATTTTTAATAAAATCACGTCCACTTAAATAACAACTACGAATGATTACTGCTATACGAGCCAAACGTATTTCTATACAAGTCGAAGCCTAGCTTTATTACGAAATATCATATCTTCTATCTAAAAAGTATAACTATCGTAACCCATCAAGTATAACTTTATTAAAATACATATATCGGTTAAAATAATAATCTAAATTATGTAAATAGTAATAAAAAAGTACACGATGTTACTAAAAACCAAGTAAATTATTGTAATATTGTATTTTCCTACTAGCAGCGGGACACTATATAATTTACTACAGCTATAATCATAAATTATTCGTACGTATATTTGCGTCACAAAGCCACAAAGTTAATGGCTCTACGTTATTGATAGTTATTTCATCTCCCACGCCATTATTACCCTTTAGCGTAAAACTTTGTTTATTGAAATTGATCGATAATTGCTAACACTTTCACATTCCAAAACAAAATAAATATTTTACTTTCTATAATGGCACATTAAATGCGATGCATTCTGCTTAATTGTCCAAATTAATGTTGAAACATTTGAAGTAACTCGTAGTACTGTTACTTGCACTCCAAGCGCACTGAGATGATATGACGCTGGCCTCCTGTACTCCTTAGATTTGTATTTTGAACCGTTCCCCCTCGGAGCAGTTCTGGAATGATTGCTATTGAATAAGTGGAGAGCTCTGACTGTCACTGAAGTCAAGGGTGTAGTACATATCGGTGGTGTCCAGAGTGTTGGAAGGTGGGGGGAAGGGGGCTGAAGCAGGAGGAGCGCGCTTGTCTTGCAGCCAGTGGTGCGGCGGGCCTGGCTCCGTGACCCGAGACAGGCGAGACAACAGCCGGGAGTAAGTCTTGTTCACTCGGCAATGGCAGGCCGTCACCTAAGATACAAATCAAACTTATCAATGCATAGCAGATGTCTGTGGGAGCGTTACGCTACGACACGCACCTTTTCTTTGCAACGCTCCAATTAGCAACTCGTAATCCTGTGCAATCATTTCATAATAGCACTCTAGCATAATGATTACAGTATGCAATGATTTTAATCAGTGTGTAGTTAAAACATCGAAAATCAAAGCAACTATGGTTGAAGATCTTTGGAAAACTGTATCGTAGCAAAGCGCTACGAATCTAGGAATCTCGTAGCACCCGTGGCTCGTAGCCCGAACCCTCATATTGAATATTCGTATATAGGTACCCAAATTTTTTTTTAATATTTTCTTTAATTACATCAATTGTATATGACATTGTATGACAAGTTCCAGCTTCAACTAAAAGATAAAACTAGTGACACTGTAGTCCTAAGTGAACTGAACACGTTAAGATTGTTCATGAAACCTTTACGATTCTCGATTAGTAGTAATTAATACTAATTATTGACAAATCACTTTAGGTAAAAGTCACTTTAATACTTGCCTACTTAATATTGCTGGCAGAAGTAAATTATTAAAGAATAGGTAACTTTTATACATAAAAATGTACTTACAACAACTCCAACAATAGCAATAGCAGCTCCAAGTGTACCGGCGGCAATGTACACATTATGCAGTCTATCGTGGTACAATCCCAATGGCATCCGCACCTCACGAACAGAGCCTCCTCCACTGTTCTCAAGCCTTCCTCTACGGGGCTCTACATCCATACCACCCTCGCTCCCGACCACTGATTCCAGTATAAAGTCCTCTGTAACGTAAAGCGAAAAGTAAATGTATATGACAGTGAAATGTACAATTATATAACTTATGGCGCCGACTTCTAACCTCAGTGGTTGGGTAACCTAAGTACCTTTTTCTTTTTAGTTTTGACTTCTTGTTTGTTTTTAGTTTTTGTTTTTTTTTATATCCGTGCATCGTGTGAGTAAAGTAAGGAACTTAATAAGAAATGCTGAGCCGATTAACAGATGACAATAGATGATTTGCGTAGGCAAATGCTACGAAATATCTTATTCCTTAAAAATTATTCATTTTAATATTATTTTTGACATATTTTATTTTGCCTTATTCCCAGTATAGTGATCAGCTACACGATTGCCGAGCTAAAAGTTTAGGGTAAGAGTTCTATCAAAGAAATATTGTGTTTTTTAAAGCACGGAGTCCTGAACAGTGCAGAACAGTATGGTATTGTGACAAAAGCATGACTTTATGGTAAAGTTCAATTATTTTTGTCGATATATTATTATCGGTGTTGACCGTAGGCTATGCGAATAATGTAAAAAAAATAAAAACGGTGATTGGAAGACCGCAATGAAACGCCTACGCAAGTGCTACGAAATTGCTACGAAATATTTATTTTATGTTTTTTTTTTTTGCAAGAAACTTAATAATTAATTATGATTATGATTTAGATAAATTTTGTTATAACATAGAGAAGTTACGTCGTTATTACCTTCACAAAGTTTTCCTGTATAGCCGGGCCGACAAGAGCAGTAGAAAGACTCAATCCCACTCCAACATGTTCCGCCATGTGCACAGGGGTTGTTGTCACAAGCCTGGAAATGTAATCAGATTTTTCAAATTAAGGTGGACTTAATAGCGATCAGTAATGCTACAAAAACATAGATATTTGGAACTACGGGTCTCTGACGTATTATATCAACTACCAACTACTAGCTTCTGCCAGCGGCTTTTCCCGTGGAGTAAAAAGTAACCTATATGTTATTTCAGACCATAATCTACCCTTATTCCAAATTTTAACGCAATCCTTTCAGCAGTTTTGATGTAAAAGAGTAACAAACACACACAATAAAGGCATAAAGGCATTATTGTTCATACAATAATAATATTATTATTATTAACTACGTAATAGTATGAAGTTAAAGATTTCACTTACAGATCTGGTGGGGATATGACACTCATCGCCGACAAATCCGAGAGGACACTCGCAGGCGTAACTATTGCCGCGGTCCAGGCAGATCCGATGAGAAGGGCACGGACTTGGGGAGCAGAGGTCCACCTGCCAAATATAATTCAAATGTCAGTTTATTTCTCACCACAAATGCAATAAATACTATAATACTAATAATATCTCAAGACAAGAGCTCGACTAAGATACGTAATACCTGTATTGTGAATCAGTCTTTATTTATTTGTCATTTGTAAACTGTTGTACGACGAAATTGGTAAACTTGATAGAAATGAATTTACCAAAGCCATAGATTTGAGTGTGCTTACCTACCCACAATACTTTATATCCTACCTTACAAAATGTCGGACAAGTGTTAGATAGCTAGTATATGTCGACTTGGTAACGTGAAGGTTAGAATAATCTTTCCTTAAATTAAGTCTACATATGAAAAGGGATCTTAATCCAATCATTAAGAATTTAATACTTTTGCTGTACGTAACAATTTTTGAAGCCTTTTCAATTCTACGAAAGGAATACTGTTTTGTGTTATCCCTTATCATCAAAAAGGTACAATAATGTAGGTACCCAAGTCAAACCACATGCATGTCAAAGTAGAATTCATACGGAGTTATCAGAAAATCTGCTTTATATTCAGTTCATTGATTTTCAAAAACGTTTCTGACTGATATACGTTTTTGGATCTTAACGATGTTTGAACATGAACGGCAAGACGTTGTCTCGTATGCAATCTATTGTGATATTGCATATCACTAGTACTAAGGAATATCATTTTTATATAAATAAATCGTTTTAACATTAGTAAAGCGATTGAGGAGACGGATATTCTTGAGATTAAATTCTATAATCAGAAAAAGCAATTTAAAAGCTGATATAATTCCCAACAAAGCTTCTTTTTCGTAAAGTAAATTTTCGTCGATTTCATTCCTTGCAATTCTACTAATCTTGGATTATATCACAGTAATCTTATTAACATGAACAGAGCGTCCGTAGGTCAGTCACCGACAGACAAGAAATTAAGAATAACAATGACAACAAAGATGCATGCTGAATATTAATCTTTTGTTGATAAATCAGAACTTTTGTGTTCTAATAATCATTAGGACTTCCGTGAAGTATTATTGTAAATAAGCCAAAAGACAAATAAATATATCCAATTCTCTGATGAGTTCTGATTAGTACAAAGGGATAATCACTTCGAAGAAATCCCCAAAGGCTTAACAAGCTTCCCTAATTTATCATGAAAGAGATTCAACCACGGAGTGCTCTCATTTGATTACAGTTAATGTACTGTGTGTAGTTACTGTCATCAGATGAATAATTGTGATGGAAATTTAAGAATTTAGTAATGTAAATTCTACAATTGAATAAAAACTAGATTTTTTGAATATGTGTATTTAAGAAATCCCATTTTTGTTTGTGAAAAACTGAAATAAAATAAAAATATTGTTCGCTAAATTGGTCACAGACGGCGATATCACCTCATTATCATTTAGTATTAGTATGAGAATAGCGTAAACTGACCTTGAGCTGACACGTGTTGCCGGTGTAGCCGCGACCACACGAACACGCGAATCCGCCGACGCGGTCGGTGCAGGTGCCCCCGTTGGCACATGGAGACGACTCACATTCGTTGTACTCCATTTCACAGCGTTCACCCGTATATCCTACACCAAGGAGTTTGTATTGTATAGATGGATCATTTTTTGGAACTGTTTCTTCAGTTCAGTCTAGTTGAAATGTCAGGAATATGCAAATTTTGACATTAATTCCCTTTAATCAGGCGTGGATTATTGCGGGTACTATCATAAACATATAACCTAAAGTTCGAGTTTCTTCGACTTTATATAACGACGCAACTTACCATAACTTAGCCGTATTATCTCATTATGCACATTTCGTAAATTATACCTATTTGACTCAAGCACCCATAAGTAAGAAAATGGTTCTTTTACATCTCAATCAAGACCGAGACTCTCATCTACAAAATCAAATGTTTCATTTAAATAACTGAATTCGTAAGTCGCATGATGGTACAGTTTAAGATAAATCTTGTAGCTCATTTCTTAGAAGAGTGTATAACAAATATTTATCTTTTAAGGAAAATATATAAGAAGAGACGGGAGAGAGGAAAAGCTCGCAACTTCCTTATGACAAGGCCCAATCTGTCCCGAGGGATATTTACTTGCAACCCGCAATGAAATGTTCCTTCACTAGAAAAATACTCTTGATTAATTCACTCCGATTTATTTAGCGTAGTAAAAAGCTTATTTGTGTATTCCAGAAGTTAATACATATTTTTCACATTAAATTAATAGTCCAAACGGAACACATTTGAATTACAAATTCTCAAACATTATACTGCTTTTTGAGTGTTGATTAAATTTGATTTATTTATTTAGATATGTTTGTAATGTATCTGAGCGAATGTTTATCGTAAATATGTTCATCATTATGTTAATTGATTCACAACATCCCATCTGTATATTTAATTAATAAAGCGGTAATGTGCTATTAGCCCCGAGGTGCAAAGTGGTGAATGTTCAATTATTACTTAGTATTAAATATTCACTGTGAGACATGATCAGTATTATGTTTGATATGTATTATACTTTTATTAAAATGAATGAATTTATTTGTACGTAAATCTTTATAGTAACTACCTGCAAAGTTTTCATGTGATTGATGTATAATTATTCTATTAATATTTTCATTTCATTGAAATGTAGCCTATGCGAGCACGCAACATTTTTTATTCTTCGCAAGTTCGCAACTAAACACCTTTTCTACAATAACGGGTCGATACAGTTAAAATGGGTTTCTTCTATTGTGTTGTAAATTTTATCTAAACCTAGTTTTAAACGAAGCCTTCAGAGTTAACAATGAGTGGAGAAACCGCATGAGACCGCACAAGGGAGCGGGTGTGGGCAACCTTCCAACTTAAGTCCAATAAATCAGTGCGCAAATTTGCTGTACAGAGCCCACATACAAGTTTCGACCATTATTAAACTGACCTAGCTCTAAAGCTTCATTTGTCCTTCAACTAAGCTTTAGCCTTCACACAAAAATATAATGAATTAAATTACGAGTTCGTGCCGTGACATGCATAATGAAATTAATTTAGTTACGAGTATATGCATTGATATATTGTAACATTCCTTTAATGGATTGCTCTTCTGCTATAATCACTGTACTAACGTGTAGTTATTTGCTTTCAATATCTGAAATCTATCTAAAAGTCTTTTATAATAGAATCAACTGAAATTAACCCCACCATAGAGTTTCTATGAACATATGTATATGTAGCTATAACCTAACCCAAAATAAACGAAAATATTTTTACATATCGGGACCGCGCAGGTCGGGGGACCGACGACAGATGCTGTTATTTGTTTAGTTCGCTTGACTGGTATAATATACTCCACGGAATTCTTTTACGACGACAATATTATTGAAAAAGAAATAATGTGACAAAACCATATTAAAGTCGATATTTGATGTAATAGAAGTTAACTAAACTGTTTGTTCTAATAATGCAATTATTAAATCAAAAATCAAATGGCAATAGGCTCACCCCCTATTACATGGGACTCATAACATAAATATTGAAAAGTGGGTGTTACATTGTAGAGTGGCATAATGTGAACCTCTACCCCTTCGGGAATAAAAGGCGTGATGTTAAGTTATGTTAAGTCAGTCAAAATGCCTACGCGGTGCAATGGATATTGACTAGCTCTATAATTGAGCCAATCCAACGCAGGCTCTTTGTGATTGTCATGATGTTTATCTACAAATTGATTGATACGTACATTACCAGCAGTGTGTACTTATTGACAATAATACTGCGGGCTACAATTGTTAGTAAGATAAACCTAAGATAAGCGACCTATAAACCGAGTGGGCGCAGCCACCAATAGATCACTGAAAACTAGAATAAAGCTGCAAACGATGTGTTTACAGCTCATTCTATACTAATTAACTCACCCGTGATTAATGATGTTAAGAGCCTCAAAAGTGTAATTTATCTGAACGTAAAATTGGGTGAAATAAATCCTCGCCTAAGGAAAATAATTGCAGGCACAGAGCCATTTAGGAGCAATAGCGAGGTGGGTATGAATAACGATTCGAGTATAAATGACGCAACTAATTTGAGGAAATGGTCCGTCATTAGATCCGTATTGTTCCGGACGTAGTCACGCGCCGTACTCTCACGATGTGACGTTTTAAATATGACAAACGCTAATAGCCACTTCGTCGCACTTGTGAAGCGAGATGATGATATCAAATTAAATTACAAAGAGATATAATGACGTATTGTGTCTACTTAAATATTTTTAATTAATTCACACCATCTAGTTGTTTTACCAGCATTTCAGCTTTACATTATCACAGACATGCGATTCTGTAATTTGTACTCATCATGACCTTTCATTTCGAAGGTATGTTGGGTAGTGGAGTAGTAAACCTTTCTCTAAATTCTTTTGTTCCTTACTTATTTACCTTACACAGTGGCGCACATAGTATTCAAACTAATAGAAAGGAGACACCTTGTACTATATTTCGTATGTAATAGTATAAAATAAAGGTAAGAAAATAAATATGAATGTATTTCTCACCAGGTTGACAGAAACAGCGATAATCTTGTCCCTCGACGTCGTTATCAGTTTGCTCGATACAGATACCCTTCACGCAAGGATTGGACATACAGGCGCCTCCGGATATAGAAAGCTCGCAGTGCGCGCCAGTCCAGCCGTCTGCGCACGCGCAGTGAAAAGTTGTCGACCCATTCATCGCCATACTCATACAGGAGCCACCATTCAAACATGGCGATGAGTAGCACGGGTCCCGCTCACATTTTCTGCCAGTAAAACCTGTAGATACGAACACCGTGTAAATATTTCTATGCATAGATGAAATATCAAAACATGCTAATTATTTGTTAACTAGGTACTCCGGTTTCGTTACACAAACGAAGACTTTCGGAAAAGTACAAATTGTTTCTCTGATTCAAAGTACAAATATCAAATTCCGTAACAAAAGTTACGCAATCCCTGCTTTTGTGTTAAAATGTTCAACAAAGAATAAAAAGTTTCATTCTGATTAGCTTATTCAAATTAAATCTGAAATGAAAATAATGAGGGGAAAGCTTTGCGAGCCATGTTGTGGTTTTACCCATGTTGAACAATACGTTACGTGGGGTTTTTTTTTTTTTTTTTTTTTTAAGGGGGGAAAATCATCGAATGACTGCTCCCGCCTGGGTGAGGCGGAAGGGAGTGTCAGACTCTTACTGACTAAAAACCACCCCGTTCCTTCTCCTGCACGTCGAGCCGGAGCCCCGGTTACCCGTTAGGTTCTCCGCGACTTCGAATCGGCATCGGCCCTATTGGGCCCCATCTGTGGTGGTCTGATGGCTCTTTGAGGCGTTCGCGGAACGCGACGCGCCGTACGCTCGGATGTTACGTGGGGTACTGTGCAAAATAAATGTATCTGGACATACCTACAAGCTGTATTTATTGTATGGACGAACATTACTGGGCGCATAGTTACGTGACGCCGCGCGCCATGCGGTCACCAGATTGCGTCACATCGGTGCTCAATTCACCAAAAACAAAATTTATTTTCAGTATCGTTATTAAATTATTTTTATCAGCTTTTACCGAGTGGGTAGCTAAATGTCACTCATTTGCCCTCCGGCGCTACTAATCTAAAGTCTCTCCTTTCACCATTTAGAAGGTCAAATTGAAACTTTTTGTTTCGTTAGAAAGATCAATAAAAGTCGTCAGATATTTAAACATCTCCATCGGCACGATACAATGAGGTACATCACAAATCCTATAGAGACCGTGCATGGAGTCTCACAATCAGAACACAATCTCCCGCGTCCTATACTTTCGAACATCTCCCCATACACCGCCAGCTTTGGACGGCTCTATTTACGGGTCATCTAGATAGTCGGTTACTCCTTATTCCATTTTCGTATTATATAAGTCCGAAATGGAATCCTCGCGAATGAATGAATGAAATCGACTGAGAAAAGAGCTTACCATTGCCAGCCAAAGAGATTCATTATTGAAAAGATTTATCTTTTGTAATCTCAATGACAACAAATAAATCAATATATTTTCAGGCTGATGCTTAATAAGATGATAATATTGAAATATTTAACGGTTGTTATTTATATTGCGAGATTTTATAAATAAACTGTAATAAAAATATCACATAACGTGACTAGCACAATATGCACATTATATATACCATAAGGACAGAGACAACGGTAGTTGGCGCCGTTGAGAGGTTGTGTGAGGTCGACACAGATGCCGTTATTGAGACACGGTGACGGATTGCAGGCGTCCCGCTCCTCACAGTGCGGGCCCACGTACCCTGGACAGCACTGACACTCGTACCCTTCCTACAAACACATCACTTCGATTATACTGTCACCTGCACAACCCTTATCACGACTTCTTCAATATATTACATACCATTGAAACGTTAGTGTAACACACACCCTTCCCCGAGCAGTCTTCAGACTCGCCGCAGTTGTCCGACTTCACGGTTACTTTTAGTCGCACACATTGAGACTTCCAATTTTCAGACACAACTAAAACAATCAAGTATGAGTTAGAAGTAGTATTTCCGAGGTACGTATACATTGTCTAACAATAAACACGAAAAGATATCAAATAGCACGCGTGAATGAGTTTTCACACTGCTTACTTCGGCACGCAATACATTATACGCCGGGAATTCCGCACATATCTATTGTGCGATCGTAGAATAAAACCGTCGTCGTTTACGTTTTTTCCTCGCACTTCCTTCCATCTTCCGGTCTATAATAAACATATCTTAACAATTTCATCGCTATACGTTTTAAAAGCATCTACTGCTCACGCTATTTTCAAATGGAACGAAGTTATAACTTTTCCTTGATTTTAATGGAAAAGTAAAGTGAGAGAAAGTGAAGTGACATGAGATGAAGTATATTATTTACCTATCAGTAAATTTACTCCTTCTGTAAGATCCTTGTCGTAGAGCGTGAAAAGTTTTGCTCCACGCTCGTCTAGTGGAGTGATGTCCAGTAACATTCCGTCAGAGACATCGCAATGCTCATGGCCCTGCCGTGTCACTTGGTACACGGCTGGCTGCAGCAGTGTACGATGTACCCTGGAAAATCAATCGCTGTTACGATACGATAAACTGGTACGGGTCACCGCTTAACTCTGCCAGCGACGATATAGGTCATACAGATTTACAGTTTTATAAAAATAACTGACCTTTCCCCATCACCATGAGAAGCATTCGTTTCAGAAGTGCCGTTCTTGGCGTCGACTTGACCGAAGGTGTCGAGTAGTAAGGAGTCCGCGATGCGGACGATAAGGATGTCTCCGCTCTGTATGTCGGCAGATCCCTCCCACGACACGATGACCGGGGGGCACTCCTCTTCGGGCGCACCCGGCGCGGCTCCCCCGCCACCGCTCCCTGCGCACTCCTCCGCCATCCGCACCACAAAGTCACACACACATTAATTAATTATCAAGTCAACCTCTGTGAATACTAATTCAAACAGGCTGCCATATTATTTAGTGTACGTTTCAGTATGCATAAGCGACGAACTGCAGCTTTCAATTACAGCTTATAATGTGTGACATTAATTAAGACTTAACAAGATGACAGTCGGCATGTGCCGGTACAAAATATACCACAGTAGAATATTCGTCAGAGACCGAGGTCAGTAATGTTGACATTGTCAAGCTCTAACGAAGAACTATGTGCCACGACAACGGGGAAATATGTATAATCTCCTAACTTTCATGCATGAGTTAATCTAGTGAACGAATAAAATATGATTGCCGTGTTTAAACAGGAACAAAGACAATTCCATTATAGTTAGGAGACTGTTTCATCGTCACCGAGACACAACAATCCAATCGTACATAAATAATGGATTAGACGTTTTCCTTAACAGAAGTAATGAATAGAGTTCAACCACTGGAGCAAAAAAGCTTTTTTCCTTATTTCTCCTTCAGTAAGACGATTTATGGTTTATGTATTTGACCTCGGCATGCTCGCTGTCACGATCAAAGTTGTGCGAACAAGAATATTATACTCTGAAATAAGGGAGCGAGCGGAAGAAAAGACATTGTATAAATTGCCAATGGAGATTAAGTTTAGTACATTCATGACTCGCAACTTATTTATAGCCGATACTGTTTCAAACTTCATAGCACCATTACGTGCATAATGTGTCTTTCAATAAACTTGCGATGGCGATATAATGAAATAGAATACACTGAACTACGTGTCCTTAATAGATTTAGTTTATTGTACTTACTTCGTTTGTTTGGGCAACCTGTGTTTACAAAAACTTAATTCTCCTTACAAGAGCGGTCAATGTTATGTTGTGCGAATTTAACTAACACTTCATGAGTAAAATTAACCTTTACGGTGAAGCATACCATTGTACAAATATGACATTTGACTCCAATTATGTAATTGAAACACGTCAAACAGTATGTGTGTCATAATTTATTAATATGTAACCTACTGTGCAGGTAGGCCACTTACTGGAATTGTTGACAAACACTTACACCCAACGACAGACTCGAGCATAAAACAAAAGAACGTAACAGGCTCAACGGTACGGGAATTCTAGCGCAATGTTTCTCATTGAGATAATACACTTCTAGGCCCAAGGGATCATGGCAACAGTAAAAAATGTAAGACCTACTTACTATGTATGAATTCCAAGAGATTGTGAATAAGTCTTTCCCTGGAAAATGTAGCGCGAAATATAAGTGCTAGGTCGGTATGAATTACGGTCTGCTACATCATCACCTTTATACCTTCTTTGTTTTATTATCATAACCATGCTAAACGCAAATAATCTAGAATATACATATATTGGAAGAGGAACTATCTACTTCACTACACTACTACTGAAGTTGTTAATTATTTTATAAGAGTTCCACTGAAATACTCGCCTTATTTTAAGAATTGTACAGAGATTCAAAGTTACACGACGCACCAAATTATATGGTAAGAACACTTGCTTTAAAAACAAAATGACCTGCCGATTCTGACAATAGGTACTTAGGATCCAAAGAATGCTTTATCCAATCTAGGAAAACCCAAACAATCATCCTAATCTGCTTGCTTCCTAAACTAATCGCAATTAGAAAATAAAAGACAATGTAACTAACTGCTTCAATGTAGTCAAACGCTCGGCAAGGTAACTTTAAACGGATAGTTATGGATGGGTAACGATTAGTCAGTTTCCGGCTACCCTCAGGTAGCTTACCTACTCGTGTTACTTTTGTATCACCATTTTCCAAGCGGCTGAATGTTCAATCTCCCAACAAATTGGTACATTATTTAATGATATTCATTGGAATATGCTAGCGACGATGGTTAATGCTAATCCCAATATGAATATAAACAACAATATATCGTGTCGTATGGCAATGAACGAAAATATTATGGCAAACCCCTCTTTTATAGAAGATGCCCATAGTCCAACAAGGACTCGGCACAAGTTGTTAATGATGATGTAGCCTATGAACGAACACGTTTATTTCAAAGAGAAATAAAGTTAGTGATCGAAAAATAAAAAAGCGTACTTATTAAAAGTGTCTTCAAGAAACTCTTGATCGATCTCACAATCAATCAGCCTATTTTCTACAAAAATACGCATTGTATTTTCCCTAAGTATAAAAGCACTTTGGATACTTGACTCAAAGTAAGATTAGTGAGGTCGTTGCGTCCGATGCTTCAAGTGGATAGATTAGCCCGGATGACACTCAATTAATATGAAAGGTAATAGGAACCCGGCTGCCAAGAAGAGGTAAACTACTTGTAACTAAATAACCTCTCTGAACCGGCTAAATGTTATAGAATTTTCTCAGTTTAGATAGAATTTTCCTCAAAGTTAGATACAACGTCTAAAAAAATGAGAATAAAATGTACGTTAAATATGTAGATGCCTACCTACTGTTTGATTCCCATAATATTGCCTGTGATTTCGTACACGCATAAAAATCTCGTGTTTTCCTATTACCGTGGGAATTTTGGGACATCCTTCTTAGCGATCCCCTATTCTTCCCACGGGAACTATATGCCAAATTACACCTTTCTACGACCGATAGTTTCGAGAGAGCGATCACTCACTCAGTCAATTCCACCTTTTTAGGTTTTTTTTGTTCAAGATACCTACTTCAAATCAGTGTAAATACAAGCTAATTCTTCTCTCTACACTCCATGTCCAAATTAACCTTTCCCAAATCTGTCTCTGTTCATAATGTGCTTTAAAATGGCTTGAAAGGGTACTTGAAAACATCTCACGTTTCATTAATGTAGAAATTACGAATAATAAATGGAAAATGGAAAAACAAATGGACTCGACTAATTTCTAAGCGCGACACCCTAACATGGCGTTGTAGACTTTTTTAAACGAATTAAAAATCAGAATGTTAATAGCATTTAGCCGGTCGTGCGTGCGTGTAGTTCGCGACTCCGTGTGACGGATTTATTAACTTGCGACACAATCAGAATACACGATATTTCCATAAATAAACTTTGTACTACTTCAACATCAGTACTAACATATACATGGTGGCGCTTATTTTATCACATTAAATTGAAAAGGGGCCTATGAGTCGATTCTGTTGTAATAATCAGGCCCGCCGGCTCAGGCTAGCTATTCGAGCGCAATATCGCGCTTACGGTGGCCAGAGTTTTCGACAACGCGAACCGTCGAAAATGATAGAGCATACTCGATAGCTTTCGAGTCACTCTCGAACTTAAATCGAGGATGCTCGAGTAACTCTGGAAATTGATCGAGGATGTTCGATAGATTTCGAGTAACTCTCGAAAGTGATCGAGGCGCTCGATGGTTTTCAAGATCGCTCGATGGTTTTCGAGTAACTCTTGAAAATAATCGAGAGCACTCGATAGATTTCGTAGTTTTCTTGGATTTCTTAAAAGTGTTCGAGGGCGAAATAACTTTAGAATATTAATATAACATAACAAAACATCACGCCTTTTATCCCCGAAGGGGAGGCAGGCGGAGGTGCACATTATGCCACTGTACAATGTAACACCCACTTTTCACTATTTAGATATGTTATGAGTCCCATGTTAGTGTAATAGGGGGTGAGCCTAGTGCCATATACCGGGCACAATTCCAAAAAAAACCAGTAATACTTCGCCCGACCCGGGAATAGAATATTCTATAGGATATGGCTATAACTATAGTCTAGGTATACGTAATACCGATGGTGTTAAGATTCTTTGTCCAAAATCATAGCTCGACATTGAATCGTAACAAATCTACTGTCTGCTAAATAACAAACAGAATACATTCCACGGCAGGCGCAGTAGCAGTCCACTGGGACTCTCATACAACAGTGATCGTCTCAGCCTGATAGTGATACGAATACACAAAGAGGTCAGCTCTCTGGAGTATCATAATAAGAAAATGAACACCGTCTGACAACCGCTAGTTAATAAATACTAACGAATATAGACTACAATATCCAAAGGGGCTGCTGTCTACGAAACTGAATGACAAAGGGATTGTCGTCGTTGTGAAACTAGATAATGAACTACGATATTATGTTTCTAGTTCATTTAGGTAAAACATTTTATCATAATGTTGTAGACATTGTTTGTATGAACTGTTTTCCTAATTAGAATATTTGACTCAATGTAGAAGTACATAAAGGCTCGTGTTAATGGCTACATACTTACAGTGACCGGCAGATTGAGTTCATGTGTCTCGTTGCCGCGCCAGAGGCGTGACTCCCGAGGCAGCACGGGCAGATCGCAATCTATCGCCCCCAGCCGCTCTTGTAGGCGCGCTGGTGAATGCGCCGCGCCGAGTGCACTAGAACTAGTGTTTAACTTTTGCCTTCTTGCACTTTTCACTACCTCCTTTGTGCTTGTGTACACTTTAGTAGTTGAATGGCGCGCGGTAGCCGGGCTCTCCGTCGCCACGAACGCTTTTGTTGTTTTTAAGCTATTCTTTGTAGTTGAAGATGCAGCAGTCGAGGCCACTGTAGTCACTAATGGTTTCGTGAAAAGCTTTTTAAGTGGTGAAGTCATTGGGCCTTGAGAAGTGGATACTGTTTTAATCTCGTCTTGAGAAGATAAAGTGTGGTCACAGTAACAAGCGGCGGCTAATGACAAGATTAGCGCAGTGGCCATTAACAAAGAGTGTGGTGTCGTTCTGTGACTGGCCATGGTGCTTTGTTTCATATTTCTTACTGTTGTTTACAGTTTATCGAACTTAATTTCTATTCTAAATGTATTTGGCACAACCACTGTATTTGTAGCTCGTGATTTGTCAGGGAGACCTGATGGGACAAGAGCAGAATATTATTTTTGTACAAAATAACTTGTAAGTATACAAATACAAAATGTACTTTTAACCCGTCATGTGTCTAAACGTGGATCCACGCGAGACACAATGTATTTAATATTGTGTCTCATATACAGGCATTCAAGCGGTTAATAAAAATCGAAACAACGGGAAAAGATATGTTATTGTGTCTAAAATGAACAGTTGGCCAAAACGTGGTGCTTATTATAAGCACTCGTATAATAAGCTACGGTCGGTGCAAAGAAAATTCAAAATCAACGATTTTAACCTTTATTATACCCAAATATACGTACGTACTAAGCATCAAAGAGAAGATGTTCCTTTAAATTTTTTTTAGCCTCACAGTATAACAACGTTAAGAACCCTCCCATTGTCTATGTTTTAAAAATAAACCTGAACGTCTTATTGTGAGACACCTCTTGATGGAAACATCTATAATTGGACAACCTTTAAAGCCCTTTGGCTGAGTGGCGACCCTCTTCAAAAACGAGTGCAGCCCTCAGATGAACTTAAGATAGCTCATTTAGAATCACAAAGGGTTCTATCATTAACTACCAACATAAATTGTTATGATTCAGTAAAACAATAAAATTGGACTGTATCTTAAGGTCGAAATAATAAACTTTTCAACTCAATTTCTTTGCTTTGTTTAAATCTACTTGAAACTTGTACAACTTAAGCTAATATTTCTGTAGAAAACCATGCCTAAGTGAAATTAAGATAATCTAAAGTTAACCTCCAACGTGAGAACAAAAAAGACTGAACGATAAATAAATACAACTATTCTGAAATAACCTTCAATAAAATTTTCAGTTGATTTGAACAATTTATACTTACGTAAGAACGCAGAAATGATAAAAATATCAATATGTGGGTGAAAACAAATGCTTCCACAACAAATTCACGAAAAAGATAAACAGTTCAATCTTAATGTTACATTTCCACAACATTCAAATATAATAATTTCGACCAACGTCCCGGTTTATTCAGTAAATAAATCCTTCCTTACAATTAAACCAAAACGTGATAAATTCGCATACATTAAGTTGAGCAAATATCAAAACAAATCAAGCTCTGATTAATTTATGTGTGGAATGAAACAATGTTTTGGCAGGGCGGCAGCGTAGCACAGGGCGGGCGACGCAACCGGCCGCAGCCTCCGCGACACTGAGGGCGGCCGAGGCGCCCCGCCACCCTGCCACCCCGCCGCCCGCACCCTTGCACCCCTCTCGCGCACCCTCACACGCCTGTATCATTACTTCATTTTACTCCACGCCTGTATTTTCAACGATTTCCTTAGCGTTAGAAAACTCGAAGCGTGAGTCTTTTGAGTTTTCTCGGTTCAGCATTTTTATTCGTAATTTAGCAGTGAACATGTTTTTGAGGACTGCTCGAAATGAAGTTTGTTTTAAAAGCAACGGTTTAAGTTTAAAGCAAGTACATACATATATGTAAATAAGTACGGCGCCGGAGACGTCTCGTCGTAGTGCGGGTGATATAGCATCGGCGGTGGAACACAGACAGCATAGCACCGGTCGCGTTGTAAACACCGAGCCGAAGCCTCCCACGCTCCCGTGCTACCTGCTCTCAATATTTATTGCGTTTACATTTCATTGGAACATTCCAATATCGTGACCCAATATCATAGGGCACAACGAAAATATTTTTTCCTCAACCAATTTCGTTACAATGAGTGGAGGTGTAAACCTTTTATCAAATCCCCCGCTTTATTCAAAAAATGTATTAAAACACCTACCTATTCACAAGGAACACGAAAAAGGATACGATGAAAAAGAACTCATAAAACTGCCACGGTGATTTAATGGTCAGTAATATTCAAAAGAAAAAGAAGTTTGTAAAATCCAAGGATCCCTAATACATTTTTTCCACAACGCCGCCCGTACAACTCGATTAGTTAATGCATCAATCTAATTATGCTTGCTTATCATAACGATACAGAGGGATTGCGTTTTAGAAATGTAAATGTCTGTATTCTAGAGTCAGTTCGTGTCATAGAAGTTAATTAGTCATTAAGTAGATTGGTATGCTAATCAAAACAGGAAATTGCGTCCATTTCTGATATCCGGCGCAGTTTAATGAAGCGAACTGTAGTTGTTGCTCTAAAAACAACTACGAACCTTCGAATACTCTTGGAGCTTAATGGATTAAAATAAAGATTAAAGTTCAAGTAGTATTTTATCTTCACGCACATAAACCGTGCTCAGATAATATTATAATTAGTCATTCATGCATATTAAATTGTAGTCATCAATTATTCCACTCGCAATTTGCTGACGATGATGTAATCATGTTCTAATGTTAGGTATATAGTAATTCATCTAATTGCAAACAGCAAACATGGGTATTTATATCCTCCTAATAAAACAGATAACATTTACTATTTTGATATTATAATTTATTCAATATCATAAAACCTAATTAAATACTTAATGTTGAACGTATGTTATTAGTCGCCACGGTATTACTAGATTTCATGTAAATTATAAGCTGCCTTAAATCCCTTGTGAATATCATTAGGTTTAAATGGCGTGGTTTCTTTCGGTGCGAGTCGGTGTATTCATGTAACGCGTGGGTAATTAGGCGTGAGGTAACGTATTACACATATCCTATACCCAAATCTGGTCTAAATCCTGTCGCTAATTAACTGTCAACTGGAAAATCGCACAATTTATTATTTACCTGCTCCAAAAAGGAAAATCTTACCTAATTTATGTTTGTAACCGAAATTTGCTGAACGAAGTTATTTTTAATGGGAAAAATCGTTGGCTCTGAAATAAAGAGCCTTCGAATTTTCCACCGTTTATGAAATAAGTTGGTGAATTTGTACGCAACCAGCTTTTTATTATAAAATCGGGGTATTACTTAATCTGATAAACGGTACTTCAGAAAGAATTTCATTTTAATCTATGAAATATAAATAACTTTTGAACAGTGTCTATTTTAATCATTTTGATAAAGAACGTTCGTGTTTATAAAATATCTACATAACTATTATTATACTTGTAAATAGGATCGTTAAGCTCACAATAAATACTTAAATTGAAACGCCAGCGCCAATAGACAATTTATAACTAAAGTCATGGCATCTAAATCTATTCTCGCTGGCCTGATATTGAAGGGTAATTAACAGTGCAGGCTAACTATACCAGCAGGCTGTAGCGCTATATTATAGGTATAGCTTGCTTATCATTCTGCGCAAGTTAAGTGGGACACAATTAAATGTAGGAGAAAATTGTAAGGGTTATTTGAAACAAAGCAATTATACTAATTGCTTACTTAAATGAAATAAGTTTACAGCGTCAATTCAGTAATAACAGCCTCTCAGGAGGTTTAGGGTTTTATCCTTGGAAGAAATAAAAAATGTTTTGTAACTTTTATGATATCAATTCCTAGTATTTGACGACATAGGAGTGAGAATATGGGTTAACTACATTTAGACCAGATAATGATGTTACTGTTGAAAAATGAAAAAATACTTATTTATCTTTTCTGGGATAGTGGCAGGTTTGATGATGATAAATGTGCGAGTCAATAAAAGTACCTAAGAATATACATATTAATTTAATAAAATGAAAATAAATGTACAAACTAACAAAATCTTAACAGTCACTGCAGTAAACTTTATTATTGAGTATATTTTAACTATACAACAGCCGAAGCCAAAAACATAAAAGCTGGGCAGAATTTAATACCATTTGGTCGATTTTCGCAAGACGATGGTTTGTACGACTTCATTTTTCTCCCTTAACCCGCTCTATCGACGAAGTCCGGGGCGGAAACATTGCGTCATTGGATTTTCCTCTGAGGAAATTTTCACCTTTACAATTTTCCGGGATTAAAATTATGCTCATTTCATAATAACGACGACGGTCTCTTTTGATATTTGAAAGTTGTGTCAACATACATAGATAACAGACTTAGGTAGTCACATAAAAGTAAGCAATGAATTAATTTTCATTGGGCAACTACGCGCTGTTATTAATGTCTGTGTCCAAACTTAATGAAACCTAGGCGTAAGCTTTTAGTATTTAGTTTTTGTAGTGTTACGTAATAAGTAGTGAAGCGAGAGCACTGGGGCTGGGCCCAGCCGTGGCTCGGCGGCCTCGGGACGGCTGGCGGCGCGCCAACGCTCTGACGTGTGTGACTGACTACCCTTATCTTCAGTCGGATCCACCTCCGACATGGTTCGCTTCACTTTCAGTAAGCGACGCACAACGTGACGATATTTACCGGAGCTGCGATCTATTATTACAACTGCTATTAATCATTGCCTCTGCTAAAGTGATTAGTGAAACTATCGCATCCATGAATAGGGTAGACTATAAGTTTTCTAGATATCTGAGTATACCTTATGTAGGATATTAATTTCATGATATAAATATGAGTATTGATATTTTTTTTTAAATCTGCTTATTTGTAATATGTTATTATATCGAGGGGTAACGGGCTATTTGGTTTAAGCGACATTTTGGGCGATATTGAGTTATATATATATTCGGAATCAGCGAATTTTTCTCCGTCGAATGATGCCGGTTTCATTAAAATCGGAGCACTTTTTTGGCGTTTCAAACAATTCTATTTTCATGTTGTTTCCAAAGTGGCAGTGTATTAAACGACATGGATTTCGCATTTTTTATTAAATTATGTACTTGAACCATACCATCATATTAATAACCGAGACATAAACCAGTCACCCTATCTCTAATTATTAAGTCAACATGAGTTAAAGCGTTTTTCTTGTTTCTAATTTTTATTAACAAGTAACTTGAATCATTTTGACTTCCCACTAATCACACGGTGTGATGTCGCTTAAAACATTTGTCCGTCATCCAAATGCGTCATGGTACGTCTCTTA